ACTACCAAGAAAATAATGGACAAAGGTATAACAAATCAAAAATTGAGTGTTATAATTGTCATAAAGTTGGCCATTACTCTTGGGAATGTCGTAGCAATGTTAAAGAGAAAGCTAACCTTGTTGACGACAAGAAAGAAGAAGACGAGTCAACATTATTGCTGGCACTCAAGGAATATGTGTGGATGCAAAGAAAAGTTTGTGGAGATCAATAAAACGGTGAGAGGTAATATGTCCTTTGGAGATACCTCAAAGATTCAAATCGAAGGGATAGGTACGATTCTGATCTCCTTTAAAGATGGTAGTCACAAGCTAATTCAAGATGTATATTATGTGCTAAAATTAAAAAGTAATATGTTGAGTTTGGGCCAACTTCTTGAAAAGGAATATGACATCCACATGAAAAATATGCATCTTTGGCTTAGAGATTCAAGTGGAATTCTAATTGCTAAAGTGCATGTGGCAAAGAATAGATTATTTTTCTGAACCTTAAAACAATTGATGCAAAGTGTTTGAAGGCTAATGTGCAAGATGAATCATGGTGTTGGCACATGCGATTTGGGCACTTGAATTTTGAAGCGCTCAAATCAATGGGAGAACAGAACATGGTACATGGGATACCATCAATCAACCATCCAAATCAACTGTGTGAAGCTTGTCTTCTTGGAAAGCATGCAAAGAGAAATTTTCCAAAGGAGGCCATGTCAAGATCAACCAAGCCGCTCCAGCTTGTTCACACTGATGTGTGTGGACCAATCAATCCACCTTCTTTTGGTAAAAGTAGATACTTTCTGCTTTTCATTGATGACTTTAGTAGAAAGACTTGAGTTTATTTCTTGAACCAAAAATCTGAAGCTTTTGCTGCTTTTAAAAATTTCAAAGTACTTGTGGAGAAAGAAAGTGTCTATGAAATTAAAGCTCTAAGGTCTGATAGAGGAGGCGAATTCACTTCAAACGAATTTAAGGACTTCTTTCAATCTCATGGAATTCGCCGCCCTCTAACGGTACCTTATTCACCCCAACAAAATGGTGTTGCAGAGACAAAGAATCGAGCGATTCTTAATATGGCTAGATGTATGTTGAAAGCTAAAAGTATGCCCAAAGAATTTTGGGCCGAAGCTGTTTCTTGTGCAGTTTATTTGAACAACAGGTCTCCAACAAGAAATGTTAGAGATCAAACCCCTCAAGAAGCATGGAGTGGAAGAAAACCAAGTGTCAAGCACTTGAGAATCTTTGGGAGCATAGCCTATGCTCATGTGCCACATCAAGGGAGAGCGAAGCTTGACGATCGAAGTGTCAAGCATGTGTTTGTTGGTCATGATACGAGTTCAAAAGGCTACAAGTTATACAACCCAAGCAGCGGCAAGGTGGTGGTAAGACGCGATGTTGAATTTGATGAAGAATTGGCATGGAATTGGGAAGCTCAGGAAGTAACTTCATATGATTAATTCCATACTTTGGTGATGAAGAAGAACCAGAGACCGTGGAACCTGTGCAGGATACAACTCCACCTCCTTCTCCAACCAATGTTGCATCTCCCTCATCTCAAGAAAGTTCAAATGAACAGCCGCAAAGGACAAAGAGTATTCAAGAGCTCTATAAGGACACAGAAGAAGTTACTAATTTTGATTTTTTATGTTGTCTCTTTGCTAACAGTGAACCAATGAACTTTGATGAAGCTGTTACAAACAAAAAGTGGAGACAAGCCATGGAGGAGGAGATTGAGTCAATAGAGAAGAACAACACTTGGGAGTTAACAACTCTTCCCAAGGGTCATCGAGCAATTGGAGTGAAATGGGTATACAAGACAAAGAAGAATGCTGATGGAGATGTGGAGAGATACAAGGCACAACTTGTGGATAAAGGCTACAAGCAAAGGCAAGGCATTGACTATGAAGAAGTCTATGCACCTGTTGCCCGCATGGAGACGATTCGTTTGCTGATCTCTTTGGCGGCGCAAATGAAGTGGAAGATCCATCAACTAGATGTTAAGTCAACCTTCTTGAATTGCTATCTTGAAGAAGAAGTCTATGTTGAACAGCCATTGGGCTTCGCGGTCAAAAACCATGAAGATAAAGTGTTGAAGTTGAACAAAGCTTTATATGGATTGAAGCAAGCCCCGCGAGCATGGAACAGTTGCATCGACAAGTATTTTCAAGACAATGGGTTTACTCGTTGTCTCCATGAATATACCTCTTTACCTTAAAGTTCATACTAATGGATATATCTTGCTTGTTTGTCTTTATGTTAATGATCTTATTTTCACGGGCAATAGCCCAAGTTTGTTTGAAGCTTTTAAGAAAGATATGTCTCGTGAGTTCGAGATGACGGACGTAGGGCTCATGTCATACTACTTGGGCCTAGAAGTGAAGTAGATGGAGGATGGAATTTTTATCTCTCAAGAAAGCTATACAAAAGAGATATTGAAGAAGTTCAACATGCTCGATTGCAACCCTGTGAACACACCGATGGAGAGTGGGACAAAATTATCCAAGTTTGATGAAGGAGAAAAGGTGGATCCCACATTTTTCAAAAGTCTTGTGGGAAGTTTGAGGTACTTGACTTGTACCAGGACAGATATACTCTTTGCAGTTGGAGTAGTAAGCCGCTTCATGGAAGTTCCTACCTCCACTCATTTGAAAGTCACTAGAAGAATTCTTCGTTACCTAAAAGGTACGATTGACTTTGGGCTATTTTATTCTTCTTCTAGTGATTTCAATCTTATGGGATTTTGTGATAGTGATTATGCGGGAGATATTGATGATAGAAAAAGTACAACTGGTTTTGTATTTTTCTTGGGTGATTATGTTATTTCTTGGAGTTCAAAGAAACACTCCATTGTTACTCTCTCGATCTGTGAAGTTGAATATGTAGCAGCAATATCTTGTACGTGTCATGCTATTTGGCTGAGAAGATTATTGAAGGAACTCAATTTATCACAAATTGAAGCTACAGAGAATTGTATTGACAACGAATCCGCACAGGCACTTGCGAAGAATTCAGTTTATCATGATCGAAGCAAGCATATTGATACAACGTATCACTTCATTAGAGAATGCATTGCCAAGAAGGAAGTCGAGCTCAAATATGTAAAGTCTCATGATCAAGTTACAGATATCTTCACAAAGCCTCTAAAATTTGAAGATTTCCAAAGATTGAGATCATGTCTTGGAATGAAGAGAAAAAATCAAAATTAAGGGAGAGATTTGTAGGGCCCATATTAAATAAAATAACCAGAAAAAAGAATAAGGAAAAAGATATGATTGGAGGAAAAAAAGGCCATGGTAGGCGCTGCAGAAACCAAGTGCAAAACCATAACAAATTGGTTTTGGTTTTAGTTGTTACCAATCTTGCAACTTGCAAGAACCAAATCTGATTGGTTCACTTGGACGGTAAATTTGCCTATAAAAGGAACTATTTGTTCCTCATTGAAACACACCAAAATCAGAGAGCGAATAGAGTATAGAGAGAGTAATCCACAGATTCTAGTCTGTGAGGTAAATATTGAGTGGGAGTAATATTATAGTGAAGTGTTTAAAATAAAGAGTGTTATTTATTTTTAAGTTGTAGTAGTCTCTTGACACTACCAAGTTGTAATATTGTAGTGGTATTATATTGCTCCGCTCGCCTATTGTAATTTATCCTGTTAAAATATTTGGTGTCGTTGTTACTCTCTTGTGTCATTATTATATTTACCGTGAATATTATTCCTGGAGGGGGATATTTATTTTCCCAACAGTATCTGTAAAATGTACTTCAACATCAAGATAATCTAGAGCACAAAGTACAGCACTATTATCCACCTAAGGAAGAATAACAAAAATTATCATATCTCTGTTTAATGAGGATCTGAGGTATAAGAAAGCCATAAAATAAGGAGAAATAAAAGAACCAAATGATTAAGTCCTTGATTTCCAAATATTGTAAACATGGGAAGCTTCTCATCAAGCGCAAAACACATGAGACGTTATATAGATCACCCAAATTAAGACCAGAGAGGTAGGGACATTTCACAAAGTCAAAATGAAAGAGAAGCCCAGTCTGTAGTTCACCTTCAGCAACCAAGACCTAGGATAAAAATGCCAAATTTAGTATGACTCAAAACCAAAATATGTTGAATCTATGTAAATGAATTATAATGAAGTTTTGAAGCACATTTACCCTGACTCTATGGTTATCCAAGTGGAGATGTTTGAGAACAAAAAAAGAATTATAAAGCTTAGCAATATCACATGCACCCGGTCCATACCATCCCCTAAACGCAAGCAAAAATTTTGCAAGAAGAGAGATGTTTTTTAAGCAGATAGCATTTATATTGCATGTGAGGTCGAAGGATTTTAGCTTGAGAGCATTAATTTCAATGATGCCGCTTGAAAAATCTGACATTTGCAGAGCTAATTGCTCGAGCAACGGGCAACCGGAGATTAACCTTCCAAGCAACTCGGACGAAATTTCAACACAACAAAGTTTCATGCTAATTAACATTTCAAATCCTTTGAAGGATGGTGGAGGAAGTATTTTACAATCTTCAAGAGTCAAATGCCTAAATTGCAAGCAATTGAAAAATGAAGGAGGCAATTCCGATCGGGAACGACAGAATACTGGAAGATGAAGAAGAAGATGTTCAATGCCATTTTTAGCAAGGAAATCTATCAATTTGACAGGTAAGGAAAGCAGTGGTTCAACTTTGTCATCGGGCATGCATGAAATGTCAAAATAAGGAATGCGGAAGATACACTTTGTAACTGGTTCTTCATGAAAGGTCAAAATACGGTTGACAATCTTCTTAGAGTTTCTTGAATGGTATGTTAAACCCTTTTCCGCTTTCCAAAATGTTTGATCAAGAGTCTAACTGTGGAAGTCTACACCATTTATATCTCCAAGAAGCCTCTTGTAAAGGCAAATTTCCAATAATAATACCAAGTACATTCTCAGGAATATTTTCGACGGTGGTATTGCTTTTTGCCCACCCTTGTGTTTCTGATTGAACTCTACACCTGATAGATTGTTAAGCAAACTGAAACATATATCACCAATAAGAGCTAAAACAAGGTTTCATCACACAAACATCATTTTAACACAATATGTTCCTGATTGAACTCTACAGCTGACCATTCTCAAGAACGGAGCAATTTCCCAACCGCTTCACCTTAAGCAAGACCATACACATTATTTGACATAAAAATAACTAGTAAAGATCAGATTCCTTGTGAGTATGAATTACACAATCTGATGTTGGGTAAGAAACACAGGTGAGCAAATAGCCTTCCTCTATTTGATTATCATCCAGATCATATAATAATATTTGCTAATAAGACCCTGTAAAAAAATAAACAAGAATAAGGAAGATCTCCAAACTATCTAGTCAAATGACATAGTCAAAATTAACATGCGATAACTGTAAGAAGAACAGAAAGGGTATGTTCTAATTGAATATTATGTTTGTGTGTGAAAAAAAGAAGAAGGGTCGCGAATTGGCTATTTAATACTGCCCAGTTATTTAATACACTACGATCGCGGGACCACCCACGCGATCGCGAAGAACAAACTCACAGCCTCCAAATTTTACTCACTACGATTGCACACATGCCCACGCGATCGCAAAGCTGCAACCCACTGACCTATGCGATCGCAAACCTTCTTACGGGATCGCATAGAACAAATATGCCTGCCTCAATCCTCACTCTACGTGATGGCGGATGAACTCACGCGATCGCAATGAACAAACCACTGCTGCTAAAACACCAGAAAACCAGCAATCTCCCAAAGACCAAAAGTGCCCGTTTGAGCATCCGAAATACACCCGAGGCCCTCCGGACCTCAACCAAACATGCCAACCTATCCCATAACATCATTCAAACTTGTTCCAATCTTCGGACGCTCAAAACAACATCAAAACACCAAATTTGCATCGGATTCAAGCCAAAGAATTCTAAAAACTTTCAAATTCCGCTTTCGATCAAAAAGCCTATCAAACCACGTCCGAATGACCTGAAATTTTGCACACACATCCCAAATGACACAACGGACCTACTGCAACTTCCAAATTTCTATTCCGACCCCTATATCAAAATCTCACCTATCAACCGGAAAACGCTAAAATTCCAATTTCGCCAATTCAAGCCTAAATCTACTCAGGGCCTCCAAAACACATTCCGATCACGCTCCTAAGTCTGAAATCACCTAACGGAGCTAACCAAATCATAAAAATTCCAATCCGAGGTCATATGCCAACAAGTCAAAACTTGGTCAAATCTTTCAAACTTTAAGCTTCAAGCTGAGAATCGTCCTTCCATATCTATTCCGATCAACCTGAAATACAAAATCGATGATTTACATAAGTCATAATACCTCACACGGGGCTAGTCATGCCTGAGAACTGGCGAGCGAAGTGCAAAAGCTCAAAACGACCGGTCGGGTCGTTACAGTTTCATAGCTTAGGCTAGATTTGATATCAGACTAGTAGCCTAAATAAGTTTAATAGCTCCCCCTCCCCCCCCCCCCCCCCACCACCACACAATTTGCATATACCTAACCTTGCGTTAGGAATTATAAACACAACAGAAAGCTGAAAAAAAGCTACTAGTATGAGACAGTTGATAGAAGGTGAAAGCCTTAGAACCCCAATACACACACACAAACACACACGACAGCGTTAACACCATCACGTTTTAAGCAAAACACAATTATATTTTAGCTGCTTTAATTATACCCAAAACATAAAACTGCAATAAACCAAAACCTAAAAGCACATGAGTAGTGTGTTGAAATTAATGAAGAAAACTGTAAGTGATTAAAAAATAAGAGAGAAATAGAGAACCTGAGGATGAATTCTGAAATGCTCACTCTTGTAGTTACTTTTATACTATAAAATGTTCTCATCAAACTCAAAAGTCACCAAATCAAAAATAAAAAGCAAAAAAGTCAAGAAATTTATAGTTTGTCTTAGAAACACCTAACAGAAAAGCTACATAGAGCAGAACGGAATTGAAGAAAGAAAATGATTAGCATGAAAGACATCTAACTAATCAAGAAAATGCATGCTCATACCCGAGATAAACAACATCAGAATCATTATGTTAAAATATAGATAAACCCCTTTTTTCATATATTAAAATATATCCTAAAGGAAAAGGGAAAAACGAAAGACATAGAAGCACTTGAACCTTACCTGAGATTTGTTGATGGAATTTGCTATAAGTCTTAAGTGTCGTGCCTTCCCCTGTTGGCCTCTATTTGAAGGTACTCTGGCCTTCACTATTTGGTTCTTCCTTCACTCTTTATAATTCAACCTCGATTTTCGACAACTATTTATTTGTAGAATAGAAGAACTTCTCATTTCACTAGAACGAATGACCATTGAGATTTCTCTATATCAATAAGTAGGGGTAGGCGTTCGGATCGCATATAAAAATTTCGGTTTGAATTTTCGATTTTCGGATTAGACATGAAAATCATCTGATAGAAACTAAGGGTCCACTAAAATATTCTATTATTTCCCACAGAATACACACAAACAACAGTAAGTAAATGACACAGTAGAGTTTTACGTGGAAAACTCCTAGCTCACGGGATTAAAAACCACGACCTACACTCGTAGGATTCAACTTCACTACTGAGCAAACTTCAGATTACAAACTATTGTAACCTAGGAATTAAACTCTTAATCCCTCACTCACTTGTAATAACTCTATAACGACCCGGCCGGTCGTTTCATGAGTTACCGCTCCGTTTCCCCCATTTCTGCTACTTTATGCTTTGATCATCTGTATTATATGGTGTTGGGTTAGTCGGTTCTAATCCGGAATGGTTTTGGGAAAGGTTTGAGACACTTAGTCTCTTAAGTTGGTCTTTAGTTGGAAAAGTCAACCGGAAGTTGACTTATGAGCAAACGATCCCGGAATTTGGGTTTTATGATTCGGATAGCTTCGGGAGGTGATTTGGGAGTTAGGAGCACGATCGGAATATGTTTAGGAAGTCCGGAGTAGATTTAGGCTTGAATTGGCGAAATTGGAATTTTGGCGTTTTCCGGTTGATAGGGGAGAATTTGATATAGGGGTCGGAATGGAATTCCGGAAGTTGGAGTAGGTCCGTTGTGCCATTTGTGACGTGCGTGCAAAATTTCAGGTCATTCAGGTTTGATAGACTTTTTGATCAAAAGCGGAATTCGGAAGTTTTTGGAGTTCTTAGGCTTGAATCCATGGTTAATTTGATGTTCCGATGTTGTTTTAGGTGTTTCGAAGATTAGTATAAGTTTGGATAGTGGTATATGACTTGTCCGTATTTTTGGTTGAGGTCCCGGGGGCCTCGGGGTGATTTCGGATGGTTATCGGAAAGTTTGGAACTTGAAAGTTGCAGCTGAAGCTACTGAACCTGTCATAACCGCACCTGCGGATTGGGGACCACAGGTGCGGGCCCGCAGAAGCGGAAGCGAAGTCACAGATGCGGTCAAGAGAGGGAAAGGCTAGAACCGCAGAAGCGGAACTTTGGGCGCACCTGCGATGGCACAGGTGCGAGAATTTGATCTAGGTGCGGTGGCTGAGGCGGATAAGTGGAATCCGCAGATGCGCACCTGGGATCGCAGGTGCGATAAATGGACCGCAGATGCGGTTTTGCTGGGTCAAAACATGTATATTTCACCCTTCGCAAATTTGGGTATTTTTCATAACATTTCAAATGGGAAGCAGCTTTGGAGAGCAAATTCAAGGGATAATTTAAGAGGGTTCCTTAGAGGTAAGGTCCTTCGTCCCTAAACTCGTTTTTATGATTATTTTAAGGTTGTAAGCTTGAAATCTATGGGAAAATCAGTAGCAAATTGGGTTAGGGCTTGGAAAATTAGAGACCTAAAATTAGGGATTTGAGGGGCCATTTGTTGTCGGATTTTGGTACTTTTGACATGAATGAACTCGTGGGGGGATAAGGATTCCATTGATGTAAATTTTGTCGGATTCCGAGACGTGGTCTCGGGGGTCGGGTTTGGTCAATTTCAGAAGTTGTGTTGTAATTTGAATAATTTCGTATGGGTTTCACTCCTTTAGCATATATTGATGGTTATGAACTGATTTTGGTAAGATTTAAGGCATTTGGAGGCCGAATCGAGAGGAAAGGGCGCGCGGGCTAGAGCTTGTCTTGGCTTGAGGTAAGTAACGCTTTCAATCTTGGCTCTGTTGGTTCGAAATCCCGAACTATGTGTTTCAAGATTATTATGAAGGTGACGCCATGCCAAGTGACGAGCGTATGGGCGTGCACCGTGGGAAACGTGGCCTGGATCATTCCAGAACACCGCTTAGTGGTTCTTTCTTACCGATATCTGTGCTGTGATTATGTGATTTAGTTAGAGCTGTAAATCATGTTGATTATCATGTTAAGGCTTCACGCCGATATTATTGAGACCCAAGAGGTCGTTTCTTGCTGTCATATCATTTATTTTATTGATATTCTGTACTCAGTCCTTTTCATGCATATTATATCCTGTCCCAATCTCGATTATTACTATTTGCCACATTTTATTGTTGACCGCGCTAGTATCATGACATTTAGAGTCCGTATGTGAGATTGGTGAGTTATAACTGAGTGAGGCCGAGAGCCTGCTATTGAGTGACAGTATGAGATTGGGCTGCACACCGCAGCGAGATACTGAACAAGCCTTCGTTGGCTTTGTTATAGCGCTTGGGCTAACGAGAGAAGCCCCTCCAGAGTCTTTACACCCCTAGTGAGCGCAGATGATGATATTGAGGAATGGATCTTCCCTGGACATGGATCTTGTCCGAATATTATACTGGGAGATGGATCTTCTCCGTGAGGCTGGATTGGCATGTGTCCTCGGTACTGGATGACCGCGGTCAGTGATGTATATTTCGGGATGGATCTTTCCTAGGCCGGATGGCCATATACAGTACCGAGAGATTGAGTACTTGTGAGTGGAGGTTCATGGAACAATGATCATGCTAGTTGAGCATTGGTATATGTAAAATCTCTAAGTTTTGAACTTCGCACTATTCAGTTGCATTTAAATACTATTGAACTTTACTTGAACTGTAAGCATGTCTACTTTTCCTGTTCAGATATATGTTATTACCTGTTGAGGTTTGGTCCGTCACTACCTGTGAGTCCATAGGTTGGACTTGTTACTTACTGAGTTGGTGTACTCATGTTACCCCTGCACCTTGTGTGCAGATCTTGGTGTCTCGGGTCACGGTAGCGGCTGCTGATCATGTTGTGCGGAGTTTCACGTGGAGACTGCGAGGTAGCTGTTTGGCGACCGCAGTTCCGCCTTCTCTTTCCCTATCTTCCTCTAGTTTATATGTTGGATATTTTCAGACTGTACTAGTCTTGTTATTTCGAACAGATGTAGTAGTTTTTGCTCATGACTAGTGACACCCGAGGTCGGGCTTGTATTTTTCTTTCCGCTGGTTTTGGAACTTCTATATTTATATCATTGGATTTCTGTTAAAACATGATATTTTCTTGAGCTTTTCAATTGGAAATAGAGTAATTGGAAATGAGTGGCTGGCCTAGTTCCACGATAGGCGCCATCACGACCGGGTCGGTTTTTGGGTCGTGACATGTTGGTATCAGAGCCTAGGTTACATAGGTCTCACGAGTCATGAGCACGTTTAGTAGAGTCTCGCGGATTGGTACGGAGACGTCTGTATTTATCCTCGGGAGGCTGCAGAACCTTTAGGAAAACTTCATATTCTTGAATTCTTGTTGTGCGAAACTGTTGATCCTAGTACTAAACTTCTGTTATTCTATTCTTTCACAGATGGTGAGGACACGTACCACTGGCCAGGATGGACGACCACCAGTACCACCAGATAGGGCCACTAGAGGCCGAGGACATGTTCGAGGCCGTGGT